GATCATGACAATTCACCCTAAAATAGCTGCATTTCAACAGATCGTTTGAGAAGCAATCCCATACTTGAAGACTTTCTGCTGAAAGCAGGTGGAGAGACTTAGTGTAGAAGCATACGGACAGATGACTTTGCTTGCTTCAGATGACTTAAAATACAATACTGTCACCTTAGTATCAGAAAGTCTTAATTCTAAAAGTAGCATCTGGAATGTGGTCCACACTAGTTAGATGCTAATTATCAGTTTGAAATTATTTCCATGCCTGGTATGCTAACATGCAAAAGAAAATAGTTTCTCTGCAAGGCAGCAACTGCATTGATCTTAACTGTAATGGTTCATGAGGAAGTGGTCAGTTACTTGAGCAAGATTTCAGAGAAGAGGTCCCTGACCTGTTTAGAAGAGGAGCTATTCTGAACTTATGTTAGGGTTTGGCTGTTTCTTCTGAAAAACATCATTCCCTGGTGTGATAATTGAAGGTGTTGTCATCAAGTAACCATATTGATTATGTCTGTTACAATTTTATCATGCTTAGCTACCTTCAGATAGAATAAAAACCTGTGTTTTCCTAACATTATCCCTTTCTTCTTGTGGTCTAATCATCTGAAATTGCCAAGTGATCAGTATCCAAACAGCTATATTGCAATGTCACTTTGTATTTAGGATGTAAGACTCAAATCATTTATTCCCTTTCAGAGTCAACTCATGGGTGATGGGAAAGTTGGAACTAAATATCAATAGAAAGTGCTACTTTTACAGTCAGGCTGTCACAGGGCTTGAGTTTCCTGGTTTGTCGCTAACTTCCCATGGATACCCTGTGGAACTGCGTGTGCTCCATGAATTTGACTTGTCCTGATCCTTACTGAGCCACAGTTACTCAGTTCACCTACAGTAAATACTTGGGTCACACTGCAAACATAGGGTATTTCATCTGTGTTACTGCTATGGGTATGTAGTGATGTTACATGTATATCTTGGGGTTCATTCCTTTTGATGAGATTTGTTGAGCGGAGAGCACTAAGTAGTTTAAATCTAACATGGCTTTAGAGTCTTGATTTCTAATACGGAATGTACATTGTGAGCCTTTTTCTTTCTTAGTATAGTGTCTGTCACTCTGGTTTTTGATTTCCTGTTTGACAAGACAGAGGTCAAGCAGCAGTGCAACCCTGTGACTTTGTAGGAAGAAAGATTAGATGTGAACATCTAGATCTTTTCACCACACTATGGAAATATCAGTCGAATAACATGACTAATAACGGTTCTTGGTCTTGCCATCTCAGTGGTATACAGGGGAGGGGCTTTCTTGGATGTATTAACAGGTTAAGGAGAAAAGTGTTACAGCATCCAGGCATTTGTAGTAATTTCATCATAGGTTATTATGTAAACCAGGCCTTTCTTGTGAGAGGTGAAAAGGCAACGTGTGGCATACTTCAAGATTAAGATATGCAAGTCTACTGAAGTGCCTGCAGAAAAATAGGTGTGGTAGGAAAAACACAGTAATAGTGGAAATCTTGAGCAAGTTTTAAAAGAGCTATATTTCAAGCTGAAATAACTATTTCATATTGAAATTTTCTATGACTAGAGACTTATTGTAAATGGGTGAATCTTTACAGGGGTTAATTAAATTTAGGGGTCCTTTTTTTAAAAAAAAAAGAGGAAAAAAAGGTGTTTTGGCTCAAGTAGATTACTTAATTGAAATAAAATGAATCTTAAATAGGGTTGCTCTTGAGTCTTGGAATTTATCACAGAGTGCTCTTAAATCATTGTCTGAGAATAATGGGCAGTAATTGCATAAAATAATAAGCTTATGGTCAGTGCTTTTAGTATCAAATTATTGTAGTATGTCAAATAAGATGAATTTCCAAGGCTTACTTTCCCCAGTCTCTTAGCTACCAGAAGGATGGTCTCCCTGTCACTGCAAAATTACTTGTGCATTCCATTTGCTATTACATTTTATCAAGACACCTAATATAATGAAAAATAATTTCATTTTTCCCAATGAGCTCAATTACAGCAGTATTTTAAACCTGTGGTTTGAGCAGATAAGGTAAAATTAATAAAGGTAATAATGATCAAGAATAAAATCATTAGTCACTAAGGTTTTCCTCCCGCTAATAATGCCATAAGTAAAAAGCATTTGTGTGCATTTCCAGCTAGGTTCACATCAGCACTGAACTGTAAATATGGTCACTTTATACCTAGGTAATGTTACTAAATCATGTTTACAGCACTTCAGATATTCTGCCCAGGTCTTACCTTGCCTCCTTTGAGTCCTCTAGGCTGGAACAGAAAATAGCTGCAGATGGCAGAAAAACCACTGTATTTTATATGATTTGGCTAGATGGTGTTGAGCTCTTCCTGGTGTCTTACCTGAGGGGCACCGGGATGAGTTTGTTAGTTCTTGGTGGCCATCAACTATCTGGCCTTGGTCTGTGCTGTCCCTTTTACCTCCAGATGCAGCTCTCCCTGCATCACCCCATCCTCTAGCCACCTGGCCTTAGACATGTCCCTCTTTCTTCCTCAGTCACCAAGACAAATTCTCAAAACAGCAAGGAGCAGGAGAGGGCATGGAAAATGACCATGGAGGGGAAGGAAAAAGATTAATCACTGTACCATTCAGTCAGTAACATACACACTGTTTCCTGGGCTATTTTGGTATTATATAGATGTGTATGTTAACGTAGCTTATATATTTATGTTTCTGATGAAGGTGTTTAGCACATCTCTTATCAATTCTCTTAGAGATCCCTTTAAAATGGGAAGGAAACTTACCAGTGTAGTGAAGGTCACCCAATGTACATTGGTGTACACTGGTGATGTTTCAAAATTTACATTTTGCAAGTGTTGATAATTTGGGTAGTTATCAAAACATGGAACAGAAGTAATGGGAGCAGCAACTACTTAGTTGCAATAAAACAACATGAAGTGATCAGCTGATTTTACTGAAAGCTTCTTGACTTTGTGAAGCTCTGCTGTTAAGGCTGTCCAAAGTTGTATCCCTAGTGACCAGCAAAAATACTCTCTAGGCATTTGTTTAGATAAAACTGTGTAAAATATAAGGCTTGGTTTTCTCTGGCTGGCTTCCCTCTTGATGGGAGGCAGCAGCAGTGCTATGAGCCAAGTGACTGCAGAGGGCAGGGAGAGGGCTGTGTGCTGCTCAGCCTCCTGGAGGAAATTAGGAGACAGTTGTTAAAATGAGGCTGGGGGGGGGGGGGGGGGGGGG